ACAAAATTTTCAATCCATAAGTGAAGGATGATCTTGAATGGTTTGAGGCTCTTCATGTTCCTAGAGCAAACAGATGCCATTGGGCTACACTAGCACGCGACAGGGACAAATGGAGACGTTACTGGCGCCCGCTCGAGCAAATCGATGATTAACGGGAAGTCAAGTGATCAAGTGGAGGATAATGTAATTTTTAGAAAATTATACCTATCAACTCATCCTATATCTCTGATACGCTAAAGGTTCCATTTTAAGTATTTTTGTCTTTTATATGCATCTCCGTAAGATTAATTTAAGACTAAAGTTCGAGTGAAGTCTCAAAATACCTATCTTATAACTACCTGCCTTATTTTCTGTCCCAAAAGTGCACCAACATAACCCCCAGTGATTAAAAGTGTTGGTTTTATTTTTATGGCAAAACAGAAAGAAATGTGTCAGATAAGTACCCCAACCCTTATTATCAAGTCTCTTGACAGCTCCTATTAGTCTCATAGAGAAGAAACAATTGATATCTTAGTCCTCAGAATGTTTGTTATCTGTTTGTGGGCATACTTGTGGTGCTGACTACTTGGAAAAGGAGTTCAACAGTCTTGCAGGGAGCCACACACAAAAGCTCTGCCCTAACTTGATTCACATTCTTAAGACTGTTACTAATTTGAAACTTTCACTGAATTGTTATGGGACAGGAAATGGAATCTTGTAACAATCAGGCAGATCCCACAGTTGCCATGGTAGCTGCTCTTAGGTAGAGACTTTCTAGTTGGTCACTAAAAACATCAAATGTTACCATCTTTCCTCTGCCAAAGAATATGAAGTATTTGTAATTTCGTTATACTTGGTAGGGATTTCTTTGGAAGTGGCAAAGGAAGATTTTTCTCCTTAAGTGTCAAGAAACTATCATGAAATACTCAGCTAGAAGAGTTTTCCGTTCTCAAGTGCCTATAAAGTCCCATATAAAGTTTCATTGAACTGATTTTGCAAAGATTCCATAAAGCTTCCCTATTGGGCATGCATCTTCTTACATATACATTTAATTATGTGCATATATGGTATGCTCTATCTTTTGAAGGGATGACTTAAGCAGGTAGGTATGTAACTGCAGAATTAGTTTCTGGGTGAGGTGCTTTATGGCTATTCTTAGACTGGAAATAATGCTCTCACCCAGAATTAACGATCTTGAAGATACCAATGAGTAGATCTGAAGTTTCAGGAAGCCTCGTAGAACTTTGCTGGTGTTTGCCAAACTTCAGAACACAGAGAATTCCAAATGTGCAACTCTTTCAACCCTAGGGAAGCACTTTAACTGATTTGCAGGGAAGGGAGTGGCATTTTGCATATGATGTAGTTGTTTATAATGTGGAGTTTTTCTAAAATTTTACCTTTGATGGTCTGTGAATTATTAGAGTCCGTCTTGGAATGGAATGCTTAGTGTTACACATGGTGTAAAGGAAATGCTGCCTCTGACCTTCCCATATGTAGGAGACCTGTTCTCTGTGGAAAGATATACAGATGCCTAGCAAAGTGCTGTAGCCAAACTAACTGAATTCCGCGTGAGTCTGTTCTTGGGACTGGGTTGCATATAACATGTGCATCAACCACGTGTCACGGTAAAAGTTCCGGCTTTCCTACATAATGAAACAGTGTTAGCTCTTCCTTGTGTTGAACTCTAGCCTGGAAGGGCCTCTTAAGCACCTTGAACCAAACTCCTGTGGGAGTTCCTTTAAATGCCATTTGGCTTGACCAGGACATCTTGCAGACTTTTCTGAAGGGATCTGAGAAGGAGGAACAGGTATTGTCTTTGTTTCCTGGGCTCTTTTTTTTGGGGCTTTTTCTTTTGTGTTGCTTCTGCCTCCCTGATGGCTTCTCACTTTGCAAGGGATTCCTGGAATTCCTCTTTTTTTTTTTTTTTTTTTTTTTTGTCCTGGCTCCAGAGTTCCCCCAGCTGGCCCCAGGAGCACACCAGGCCTTTCCAGCTTTGCTCTGCTGCGGTCTCTGTGTGGCAGCTTGGGCTCTCTAAGGAAGAATTTAAAATGTGTAAACTGAGTCAACACTTGTAAGTTACATAAGATTTTTTTCTTTCCTATTAACTGAAGATCCTATTAACTCGTGACTTGTTTGATTTTTTTTTTTCACTAAAACACTTATTAAGGGTTTTTTTTTAACCATTACAAAGAAAATCAGTTGATTTTCCCATGAGGAAAAGAGTTTTAACTTTATCCCAGAAGATAATGAATAAATGGTCTGTCGTTTTTAATGACATATTACTCTTGCAGTTAGTGGTTAACCAAATTAGGCTTATAGCTAATAAATGTGGCAATGAGTTTTATTACTACCTTTGGATACTCTTGCTGATTTGAAAGCACTGTTATTTAGTAAAAGTAATAGGATAGGATCAAAGTATCATTGCTAATTAGATCTTGTTTAATCTTCTAAAAATTACTTCTACCTCAACAGGGATGGTTTATTTCTCACAAACCTTTACGTATGCAGCTACTTTTATTTGAGACTTTAAGCCAAATTAAAGTAAGAGCAGAAACAAATCTTCATATGAATTTGGCTGTAGTTGTGAAAGCATGTCACTGTCATACTTTATTAGCTTCTTAGGTGTACCCACAAAGTCCAGAAGGTGTTACTTTGGTTTTCAGGAAACACAGAATCTTTTGCTGAGTCAGAAGCTTGAAGACAAAGCCAAAAAGATGTCCTATTTTTGTCCTCAGAATGTGTGGAGGACACAGGGACACAGAAGTGTTTCTCTGCAGCCCTAAAATGAACCAAGTACTGAAAACATTCTCTAGGTTTTCCTAATACTTCTCATTTAACTACACTGTTTTAGCCCCTTTGCAATTCTCCAATGGTGTATTTGGAAAGCTCAGGTCTATTGTTGGGCAGTCTTCTCAGATTCATCTAGTCTAAGGCCATGTTCTGAGGGAATAAGGCACCTGGATATGCCTGTCCTTTAAAATTCATGTCCTATTGGGAGTAGAAAGAATGTACAGTGAAGAGTTGTCTTTCCTAAGGTGAGATTGTATGGGAAGGAAAGCTCTGGAGCCCCAGTTGGTTTCTGACAGTCCTCATGCTTAAATAGCTGGCCTTATGAATATGGTGTCAGCTTTGAAAACCCGAAGAAACCCTGCGGTATTTGGATTTTCATTTTATTATCTTTCAATGTCCTGACTCCATGTTGACAAAGAGATTCCCTAATGTTTACAAGCAGAAGCTGAGTCAAAGTTAGACTTTGAGCACACACACACAAGAAATGGAGAGATTGCAGTTAAGAAAGCAGTATTCCAGAGTGAAAATATGGTGGAAATAACAGTAGAACATGGTCAGTCATTTATTTCATCTGCCTCAACAAATGGTTTAATTAATGAGTTTTTGTGTGATTCTCTAAACCTCAGATTTCCTTGAGTGACTAATGGACAATAATCATTGCTTGTCATTTTTCAGAAAAAAAAAAAACCTTCTTGTGTGCCTTAGTGGTTCAAATCAACTCTTAAAGACTCTTAAACTTTTGGAAAACACTTTTCCTTTGTCTGTCTTATCCGCATCAAGCAGGTCCTGATTCCAGATATGGGTGAGGAGTTACAGTAACTCCTGAGAAATGCTGGCTTCCCAGGACCTGCGCTTACTCACCTTTCTTCCTGATTCCTAGAACATTCCTTCCTTGCTTGCTTGGCATACAGTTGGTTTGAAGTTCACTCTCCATCAGTAAAGCTGCTAGTGAAAGGCCCACCATATCACAAAAGCAGCTCAAGAATTGTTCTGCAGAGAATGTGAGGGGTGTGGGAACTATTGTGATTAGAGAGGCCTCATCCAAAGAGCCAGTACTCTGAATCTCAGAAACAGCCACATGGGAACTTCATTTAAATGAAACTGTAAGATATATTTAAAGTTCCTTTTGCTTTCCTCTCCTCCTCTCTTGGATGGTTTTGTTTTTTCAAGACAAAATATATTAAGTTCTTCTGCTACAAGAGGAAAGTACTGTCAAAATGCAATTGTTTCAAAAAAACTTTTGGTGGCTCACATTTTCCTTCTCTGCTCTGGAAGGCATGGGAATACCTAAGAAAAATCATTTTCATGTCATGGCCATGAAAATAATGTAGCATTGGCAAGGTATATTTGAATGTATCGTGACTTTTTACAATAATTACCCATCGTTGGAATGCTTAAAAGGGTAAGAGAAATCTCCTAAATTATTGGGAGAGCTCTGTCATTAAATTAAATGAAAGAAATTAAGTAAGAAAGGAAAAAACTGACATGATCCACTATGACTTTTATTAGAGTCTACATGCTGTTTGAGAGTAAGTTTAAGTAAACAAGTCCAAAAGGTCAATTGTTTATCCAAATTTGTAACTTTCAGGCTACTGCTAATGAGTTTTACTGTGATTTTCTTTATAAGCCAAAACTACCCATTTCCTGCATGCCCCTCCTACTATCAGAATGGACTTGAGTTCTTATCTCTCATTATAGCGCTTGCTACCACTCAACTTTTAATCACAGTCATTCTACCACATCCATAGTTACTATTTATCTTTCCCTAAGTAGTAACTGTGCTAGATACTACCTGAGATCACTGACATAATTTCATTCCAGATAGATGCTATTGTTAGCTTCATTTTGAATGAAAGACCAGAAATGCACATAAGTTCTCTTCACTCCTACCTTTATTGTGGAGGTGAATTTACCCTACAATGCATAGCACTACAGAAACTTGCCCATTTCATCCAGGCACCTTTATGGTCTACTTTTGAGCTGTGCCAGTTTTGACTGGGAGTCTTGGCTTCTCTCCTTGAATTAAGGTTAACCAAAATGATGCTTCATGTCTTCTGATAGAAGGGAGTAGATGATGACGTGGCTTTTGTTTGCATGCTTTTCAATGAGTTAGGGGATGTAGGTGTGGGTCCAAAACATGACATTCAAAAGTTTTAACTCTAAGGGACAGTCAGTGCATGACCAGTGGGATTTTCAGGTGGAAACTGATCTATCTTTTTGTTTCTTCCTAGGTTCCCCTTACTATGACAATGTCCGGCCCCTCTCTTACCCAGATTCAGATGCTGTGCTGATTTGCTTTGACATCAGTAGACCAGAGACTCTGGACAGTGTTCTTAAAAAGGTAGGTAAATGCTGGGAATCATAATATGGTTTAGTGCTAGTTGACACTCAGGATGTGGAAAGCTCAGTCACTCCAGTGAAGACTCTGTTATAGATTTTTTTTACAATGAATCACTGAAAAGAAGATGCTCACACATAACAGGTTCTCTAAGCACAGGTGTCACTCTTTTGAGATCATTCTGCTTCGTAGAATTCTATTCGTGAAGCTATAACACAAAATAATCTTTCTGTGCCTCCATGTTTGACCTCTTTAGGTGGTTATGAGGCAACTAAAAATTGTGTGATTTTGACCTGGAGAGGTAACACAGTGGATAAGTTTCTTGCACTGCATGGAGTCAGGCTCGGTTTAATACCCTGCATCCCTTTTGGTCCTCTGATTATCTCCAGAAGTAATTTCTGAGCACAGAGCCAGAAAGAACTGCTGAACACTGTTGGTTGTGGCCAAAAATTTCTGCCCCCCCCCCCAAAAAAATGTGCCTTCTTTCCTTTTTTCCTTCATTTGCCCTATCAATCATGTTTCAGTTTAAATTTTATATTAAAATGAATGAATTAATGGCTGTTTAGGAAATGGGAAGGTGAAGGATATGTTTTCATCTATCAGACAAGATGAATTCTGACCAAGTAAATGTCAGACACTAGCTGTTACTCCATCCTGGCCTGAGTTCTGAGAAGATTCCAGAATCAGGCCCTTTTGTAGAGTACTCTCTTTTCCACTCTTTGGCTTTAGAGAATATGGATAAGAGTAAAAAGGTATCTGTCTTTTGTATTTTTCTTAATTCATACTCTCCTGCCATAGTTGATTGCTTCTTATATGTCCTCATGAAATTGTGATGTGAAGGTAGATCATCCCCTGTCTATTGACACGGCATGGCCCAAGCATCTAATTCTGCAAAATACAAACTCCTTAAAAGATCAAAGGCAATTTTTAACCACTTTCTGTTTTGAGTAACGTGTCTCTAACACAAGCTTTGCAAATGTTTGTCAGTCTCAGGCAGGAATATACCTTTTCTGTCTTCAGTAGTTGTAAACAATTGCCAGACATGCAGAGGGAGGCTAAAGTCATTACACAGCTGAAGAACGACATAACAGCATGTCTAGTGCTTGTCGGGAGATAAGAGAGATTGCTTATTTACTGGAGGTTTTTTACTTGATACACTACTGGGTTATACATAATTTATGGTGAAAACCCTTGCTCCTGATTTATTTTGCTTTTGTCTTCAAAGATCAAATGAACGGTGACTTGAGTCTTAGAGATATTAATGAGTGTGTTTTATATTCGTGTGAGGTTTAAGGCTCCTGATAACCCCTGCTATGATTCCTCTTGATTAATTGAATCTTTTAAATCCTTGAATGTCAAAGAGGTTGGAGTGACTTAAAGCATAAAGGATCTTATTCTTTTTTCAGTTCTGCATTCAGTTCTTACCTAGTACATGGGTAATGCCTCTAAAATTGGGAGGGGAGGAGGAAGGGAAAGAGGAACAGTTTTATAAATTAGCTAATTATGAAATGAAACGTGTATTTTACTCTTCATTCCATTGGAGTACTTGTTATTGCCAAAATGCACTGTAGGGTTTGGAGACTTTTCTGGCAATATTTTAATTATTCCTCTAAGGTGTTCCTCTTATCTAGTCTTTTATCTATGACTTTATCACCCCCAGTGTTCTGTGAATTTCTTTCCATAAGAATGTATTAATCATCCTTGAAACCATGATCATCCTTAGTAGAGCCCTTAATAATACATTTGTGAATGTGGATGGGGAGAGTGGGAAATTACTCCTGCTTTAGCCCCTAGGATTTCCCTTCCTGAGAGCCATAGTTCTCCTTTGAAGACTCTGAATAGCCAACTCCCATCTTGATTATCTCAAGCTTGAGGAAATGAAGCCATAAACAGGCACATTTGCTCTTGAAGAAGACACTTCCCCTGCTGGACATTTTGGAGACTTAAATCATTCTTAGGTCACAGAACAACCAGCCAAAGCAGATTAAACGGAAATATCTAACAACTTCTATAACTTAATACTAACCCGGGAACATTAAAGCCACACTCTTATGTGTGTTCCTAATAGCCCAAGAGATGGACTATCTGCAGATGCCACTAACGTTGCTGATTTGGCTGATTTGGCCACTTGAATAGAAGCATGGAGGCAGGACCTTCTGTTTCTTAGCTCCTTCTGCAGTTCCTGGAATCTCTATTGCTGTTGCATGTTTGTGCTGTCTTGGCTCTGCCTTTTTCCCAGCTTTCTCTGCTGGGAAGAACCGAATTAACATACCCAAGGATGTAGTCACTCAGCAGCCTATGTAATTATTCTTAAGGCACTTTTATCTTTTAGAGATAACCCAGTAATTAAGAAATTGTTGACAACACTCAACAAGTCTCTTGCAGTGGGGACAGATACATGAGTCATAGAGAGGGAAAATACTTAATAATATACGTAAATGTTCCCTAATGGATCTGCTTTAAAAAGTAGTAAAACTTAATATCTACTTAGAAGATAAATGTCACTTTGCTTCTTCAACTGAAGTGACATGTTTTTAATGTCCATTTGAATTCCATTTCCTTCCAGCATCTGTCACTGGAGAAATTGTTCTCTATTACATGGATGATGTTTTGTTCAGTTCTGTCAGTGGAATTGTTTTCCATTACATGAGTGATGTCTTATTTATTTATTCTTACCTTTTTACTTCCTGCAGTGGAAAGGTGAAATCCAGGAGTTTTGTCCCAATACCAAAATGCTTTTGGTTGGCTGCAAATCTGATCTCCGGACAGATGTTAGTACATTGGTGGAACTATCAAATCATCGGCAGACACCAGTGTCATATGACCAGGTATGTATGTCATTGATGTACATATATTCAGTGCACACATGGTCAAAACGTAGATTTTTTTAGTGTCATATGACCAGGTATATATATTATCAATGTACTATGTTCAGTGTTCATATGTATAATGTACAAATGTTCAAAAGTGGATTTTTTTTTATAGAAACAGAGTCTCTTTATATACAGAATAAACAGCCTCTTGTATGCAAAGAGTCACCCAGTGTTCTACTCCACTTACAAGAGCTTCAATTTGGATTCATGATCATAAGCACAATATTTCCAGATTGTGACCATGTGGTTTTAAGTGTCTGGGATTTGGGTTTGCAAAGGGAGGCAAAGCAAGGTAGTGTCTTAGCACCCTGTGAACCTCTTCATGGCCATTCAGAGCTCCAACTAATGTTAAGACTGCGAAGAAAGGGCCAGATTAGTATAGGGAGGCACTTGCCTTACACACAGCTGTCCTGGGTTCCCTCCCCAACACTGCATATGGTGCCCGGAGCACCACCAGGAGTGGTGGTCCCTGAGCACAGAACAAGAATTTAATAAGCCCCTGAGCATTGCAGGGTGTGACTGCATGTTGCAAAGTTGCCACCCACCATCCCCACCACCACCCCAAAAAAGAAAGAGCTACCAAGTACCAAAGTGATATGGGGCAAGGTTTGACTGAAATCCTCATATTAGTGCTAAGCCCTATCAAAAAGTTATATAGTACTTTTTAACATCTTACTATATCTGCATCTGTATATGTGCAGGCATCAGTAAGACAAGTTTGACAACAAATTGTAATGTAAAATACTGTTACTCAGTAGAGTAATCACATGATATTTGCTTTCAAGCCATGTGAAATGGTGGTATCTCTGCAACACCCTCTGGATTTAGTTACACAGATTTAAGATAGATAGTGGTCAAAATTAGTAATACTGTTTAATACTCTCTAAGAGAGTTAATCTAATTTTGTACTCAGCAACACAGTAAAATTCCGAAACACATTATTACCAGCAAAGTAGGATCGACTCCTTAACAGCATCTTTTAGACTTTGTTTCTGCTGACTTTTTCTGCAACTGTTGAGAATGAAGGAAGAGAAAGTTTCTGGAGTCCATTCTCTTCAAAAGCTGTGACCAGGTGCTGGAGAGATAGCACAACAGTTAGGGTGTTTGCCTTGCACGCGGCTGACCTGGGTTTGATTCCCAGCTTCACATATGGTCCTCTGAGCACTGCCAGGAGTAGCTCCTGAGTGCAGAGACAGGAGTAACCCATGTGCATTGCTGAGTGTGACCCAAAAAGAAAAACATAGAAAGAAAAAGCTGTGACCAGATTCTGAAGAAAGTTAAGAATAAAATAACTAGAATTGTACTTAGTGCTTAGCATCTTACTGTGTTTTTTCATATTTATCTTAAATTTCTAATTAAAAATGCTAGTAATTTAAATCAATAGTTTTGATTTACGTATGCTTGTTTAGAAAGTATTTTCTTAAATTTTCTGGTTTTTGTTTGTTTGCCTGTTTTTGGTTGGTTTGGGGGCCATACTCAGCAATGCTCAGGGCTTACTCCTGACTCTGCTCTCAGGAATTACTCCTGACAGGGCTCAGGGTACTATATATGGTACCCAGAATTGAATGTGGGTTGGCTATATGCAAGGCAAGCACCTTACCTGCTGTACTAAGACCCAGGCCCGGGAAGTATTTTGTGTTTTCTCATGACACAGATGTCATGCAGTTTCTGCTCATCCTCTAATTATTTTGGCCCCAGGGCATAATAGCATACCTATTCAAATTGGTTCCAAATTTCTTGCCTCAAAATCTAGTCAAAAAATTTGCATAATCTATTGACTAATCCTGAGTGCCAGTGCCGTTCACACTCAATAAAAGAAATTGAATTCTCTGTGAAGTACAATAGGTTTTTAGGGTGAAATTACCCTGATGAGGCCATGAGAAAATAAATGCATGTACATCCATGATTTTCAGCTTTCTTCCAATAGTAATATTCTCTGGATAATTCCGTTCTTTGGTATAACCTGAAAGATCTAAATATCTAATTATTCTTGGTTACAGTTGATAGTGAAGATGAATCAACTTCTAGACTGGGGAACCTTTTATCTACCAAGGGTCATTTGGATATTTGGAACATTATTTGTGGGCCATATAAGACAGGACGGTAGACCAGGAGTAGCCAACGTGAAACATACTCACCTGTCCTGTCATAGCCCAGGGCCTGCACATAGCCCACATGTTTTCTTTTCTGCTCTTTTGAATCATCCCATTCTGTTTGATGATCAGAGCCCTCAATTATTCATAGTCCAATAACTTTAGATCAGCTTTCAGCAGTTCTGAGAAGTCAAGTAGTATAGTGAGTGATAAAGAGTTGGATGCATTAGAACTCACTGAGTTTTGACTATGGATATTTACAAACTTAAAAATGAGGCAGTTTAATTGGGGATTTTATACAGCAACCTTGGAAAATTCAGTGATGTCCTTGGGAACATCTTAAAGTGATGATTATTTTGTGGAATGAGAGAATACTTTTTAACTTCCCCTCCAAATGAATTAATTGCTGATTGCAATTCCTTTTTTTTTTTTTTTTTGTTTCTCAGGGAGCAAACATGGCCAAACAGATTGGTGCAGCTACTTATATTGAATGCTCAGCTTTACAGTCAGAAAACAGCGTCAGAGACATTTTTCATGTTGCCACCTTGGCATGTGTAAACAAGACAAATAAAAACGTTAAGCGGAACAAATCACAAAGGGCCACAAAGCGGATTTCACACATGCCCAGCAGACCAGAACTTTCTGCAGTTGCCACGGACTTGCGAAAGGACAAAGCAAAGAGCTGCACTGTGATGTGAATTTCCCATAATCTTTAATGAGGACAAGGAAATCTAGTGGACAAACACCAAAAGAGAGTAAAATAAAAAGGTGACGTCTAAGTGAAGTACGCAGCCAAAGTCGCGTATTCTGAAGCTTCAGAGGTGTCCGAAAGGATGCTCATTGTTTTGGAATCCTGTCCTTAGGTTTGGCACGTAGAACATGTGGTGAGAAGTGAATATATTGGAGAGTTTTGCAATGTGACTTGAAAACTATGCCAAAAAGAGAGAGAGATTCAAATGGGCTGGAGAGAGATGAGGAGAAATGCAAGTACTCCCAGGAAGAACGATCACGCTCTGAATGGTGCTTGCGTTTTTGTTTTTGTTCTGATCTATCCTGGATCTCTATTTTGATTTAATTTTAAATGTTTTAATCTCCTTTACAAAAAAGTATATATAATATACCGTCCTCATTGGGGAACTGGCACTGTGACCTTACCGTTTAGTTTTCTAGAGGATGTGATCTAATTTCTTCCTAGCTCATCATTAAAATGGAAATTGTATCAGGACCCATGGGATACCCAGAGGAAAAGTTTGTGAGGCTTTGAATTCTTGCCCTCCTGAAGATAGTTGAGTGAGATGGTTTGAAAGAAAAGCTTTTGCAGACTTGTAAGATATACAGACCAGCACTACAAACATTGAATAGATCAAATAGAAGTGTCGAGTTTTATTCAGTCTGATGATTCTGTTCATCATTGTGATTGTCATTAAGAAGTGGTAAATTGCTCAATGTAATATTTTTGTGCGCTGTTTAGAAAAGAGGATGTGTGGTTTTTTGGCCATCGTTGATGAAAATGCAGTCAAATAAAAGGTGTCTTGGTTTGACGTCATAGAATGATACAAGGGGGAGAATAATGTAGGTACTATTTTCACCTTAAGAGATACTGAATGAAGGAATAGTAGCAGAAAGCACAGTTTGTGAGTAAAGCTGTCTGGGATTAAGTTACCAGAAGTGCAAAGCAAAAAGTTTATTATTTTGGCTTGAAGCTCTGAAGTTGGCAGCATCTCATGATCTGTTAGTTTATTTCACTTTCTTTAAATGGGAAGGACCCTCTTACCCAACCTTTTGGGGAATCCTTTTAAGGAAAATTAAGGAACATCAGTCCTGACAATATTCTAGGACGTTTCTAGAGAATGGATGCTGAACCTCACTTAACCAGATTCAGCCAAGGCCTGTGTTCAATACTTGATCGCTGTTGATACATAAAATAATCAGCATTTAAAATAGTTTACAGATATTTTTTGACCAGTTCATTATAGTGCTTCTTTCAGAGGAGAAACCAGATCCGACCGTTATTGTTGGCGCTTGTTGAAAACGAGCTTTCTTTCCAATGATAAAGCTTCATTTTTGAAGTGTTGAAGCTGTGCTCCCATTAAATTGTGGCAGGAGAGGAGATTAACATAATTATAACACTCAGTTCTGTGTCTTACAAGCACTTTGTTTTGTCTCTGCAAGAAAATACCATTCCAGTCATTTCCCACGAAATACAGATGTTCTACCAACATAATATGCTTTGATTGATGCAGCATTATGCTTTGGGCAGTATTACAAAATAGCTGGCAAGTGCTTTCTGTATTTAAATATTGTAAAAAGAAAATAAGTTATAACTGTTATAAAGCAGAACTTTTGTTGCATTTTTTAAATGTTGAAGTCACTTTGTATGTTTGTTTGGTCAATGTTTCTGCAGTATTTATTAAAACATACATTTTTTCCCCTTCGAATAAAAATGTAACCATGTCTTTGTTTAAATATAATCTGTCTTTTATTATCTGCTTCCTAATACAGTTGCTCAGTTTTGATCTTTAATAGAGATGATTACAGAACTTGTCCCTAACATTTCCTGAACTAATAATTTAGGATTCTTTTTGGCAGTAATAGCAATATTTCTTGGCAATATTAATAGAAATAGTTTTTAAAGAAATATAAACTTTTATGTTTATACATATTTGAGATTTTCATGATGATTCAAAATCTCAAGAATAAAAAGAGCTTACATAGACTAAAATATTAAGCCCTGAACACCTCCAGGTCCACACCAAAAATATAAAAAATAAGACCAAGACCAAAAATATATAAAAATAAGACTTAAGGTAAACGTAAGATTAAACACTGAAGACATGGGGATCTTTGAACTCTTCAAGAGTGGGAGAGTATGATGCAGTTTCTGGACACAGGTTTAATTCTGATGTGAACTTATGCTTGTCTACCCTCTGGGGCTCCAAGTCTCAGCCTCTGGCTAACCAGCCACCTGCATTCATATTCTTGGTCACAGAGGCAAATTGGGCAAATAACCCAGGGCATGGCTATTGCAATAATTAAAGGAAAGGGGGGAAGAAAGGAAAACAAAAATGTCTTTGTTTATGGTACAACCATTTCTGAACAATACAGAACTACACAAGAGATGCTTCACCAGTGACCTGAGAGAAGAAAGCAAGTAAGTAATAGAATCAGGAGATACCTGGACCCATAATCCCATAAACCCAGTTTTGGTATCACCCTTTGGCTAAAGAAGTTTCATATAAATATCCAAAGATATCCATGTGGGATTTTAAGATTCAATTCTTCTTTCTACACAGTTAAGTCACTTCATATAAAAACCAAGAATGAGTGTGTGTGTGTGGGGGGGGGGGGTGTATGTGTGTTAATGACTTTAGAAATCTTTGCTGAGGAGTTGGTTTTTATTTTCTTTTTGGGTCACACTTGGCGATGCATAGGGGTTACTCCTGGCTCTGCACTCAGGAATTACTCCTGGCGGTACTCAGGGGATCATATGGGATGCTGGGAATCAAACCCAAGTTGGCCTTGTGCAAGGCAAATGCCCTATCTGCTGTGTTATCTCTCCAGCACCCCCCCCCCCCGCTTTTTTTCTTTTCTTTTCTTTTTTTTTTTTTGCTGATGTATAGTTTTTTAATAGTTTTCAGAAAGAAACCAGAGGATCTAGCATGAGTAACCAAAAAGCACTGACTGTATGGGATAGCTTTATGAAAAGCAGTGGAAACACAGAGAGAATTCATCAAAAATGTGTGTATCTCATACTTGTCAGCAAGTAATGAAAGAAATAAAATTTCCTAATCTTCAGAGTTGAGTAACTTCTAATTACAACATATAAGTCAGACATATAAAAAATTCATTTCTCAATGATAATTGGCAAGGGCAAAAAAGAAACCAACCGCTGAGGTTCTGCTGACCTTGGCAGTATTCAGTAGGTTGTGCAGTAATGCTTCTCTCTGGTGAATTGTTCTTTCCAGCAGTTTTAATTTGTTAAACTAGGAAGGAAAAAAACAAGGTTAGTCTTAAACCCTGGGCGTGTGTTCTTCCCTTTCTTCCTTTGACTTTTTGCTTTAGAAAACATTTATTCTAAGCATTCTGTGAACTTCCTTCATTGATTCATCATCATGATGAATGCTTCTTCAAATACTAAGGTGATTTTCAAACTCTTGAGTAAAACTTTAATTTGGTCTCCTCTATTAATCTTTTAGAGAAAGAAATGCTTAGAATATTCTAATCTTGTTGATGCATGCCTCAATGCAAATTAGAAATTACGCAGGGAAATTTAACTTTTTCATTAGGAAGAAAATTGAATCACCTCCTTTCCTAAGACTCCTGAAACTCTTGAAGCTGGACATGCTTCTGGTGAATTATTTTGGCATTTACATTCTATGATAAATCTTCCTGTATTGTGTTATCCAGTACCTATTCTGTGCAGCTCCTTTCTAGATTTGGAACCGAATCATGGCTAAAATCCAATGTCAGGCCTAGAGAACTTATTGTCTAGTGAAATGAGTCACAAATCAGGATCTACCACATAGGGGTGTGGTCTTCAGGGAAGGGGACTGAATCATAGATGCTGTGCTGGAATCGTGTGCATTCCAATATGTAATCAGGTACACCTAACTATTAGCTACATGGTGCCACAATAGCATGCTATCATGGATCTCTGTCAAAGAAAATTTTCAAGTGTGTCTTAGAGGTTGGGGTCCATTATGGTAATTGGAGAAAAATTATGTGCACATTAGTTGCCAGTATTCACTATAATTCTTGTAAAATGATCTTATACTGTGACCGTTAAGGTCCAGTAGGGAAAACCATTCCTTTACATAGCAGTGTGAAAAACCCCCACACTGTTTGTTATAAACATGACCGTAATAGAGATTTGCACTTTGTTATTTCTTGTGAGATCTTCAATTGTTGAAAACACTGGAAAAGTGGGCATGACATACAGTTTGTAGTAGCATAAAACTTTAACATAAAATGAAATTAACTATCAGGAGATTTCAAAAATGAAAGTATTTAAAATAGCACTTTGGGTAAAAATGGAGAAGCTATCATCTAACATGGCAAATATATACTCACTGGGAATCTAAAATATCTTTTAAAAAGTATTCACTAACTCAATTCTAAAGTCCTTTGTCTCTGCCCCATTGGGATCATGGGAAATTCTAAAGAATCCTAAAATTAAAATTTACAAGATTGGCAAAGCTAATTTTATTGTAAGATTTTTTTCAGGTTTTATTTCTTTTAGAGGGAGCCATTAATACGTTTCTTCCATAAACACTTGAAATGTTGATAGAGAAATTGTGGAGAGAAATTGTCACTGGGGTAGGTGTTAGAAAATTGTGTACCTGAAACTGAATAATTTTCAAATCACAGTGCCTCTACTAAAAAAACATAAGGAAGTCTCTATTTTAAGAAAAATAAACAGCATCTGAGAAATAGCGCAGGGGTTAAGGACCTTCTTTATCTGGTCCTGACCCAGGTTTGATCCCTAGCACCACACAGAATCTCCTGAGCACCACCCAGGAGTAAGTGGACCCTGAACACAGAGCCAGGAATAAGCAACACAAGGTCACAAGGTGTCACCCAAACCTCTCCCCTCCAAAAAAGGAAAATAACCTTTAAAAATGCATCCATAGTGACAAATGAAAGCTGTCAATTATCTTTTTCTTTTTTGTTTTTTGTTTGTCTGTTTGTTTTGGGGTCACCTCCAGTGGTGCTCAGGGGTTACACCTGGCAAGCTCAGAGTTCTATATGGGATGCCAGGGATTGAACTCAGGTAAGCCATGTGCAAAATAGGCACCCTATCTACCCACTGTCCTGTCACTCGTACCCTCCAAAAACTAAACTATAAACTCCGAGATTGAATGCATTATATGCCAGACAATGGTTTAAATGATTTTTTCCCCTAACAACTCATTCCCCATAATGAATATATGCAGAGTGGAGCATCATTAATTTCCCTATTTTACAGCTAAAGGTTCCAGTATTTTTCTTAAGGTCACATGGGAAGGCATGGCTTAAAATGGACTCAGGCAGAAGCCTGTGCTCTGCACCATGGCACCATCTTGTCACAGATAAATACTTTGTATGGACTGGTGCACTGGGTGCAAGATAGCTGAACATTATTGCCAGACATCTGCTTGCTGAACCCTGGTATGGCTACATCCAGCCTGACCACAAGAGGTCTGCAACCGTATCAATCCTTTCTAGAATTCCAAATCTACCCCAACTTCCTTCACACTGCTGCCTCTTTTCATTGCACCTCCTGTTCGTGTTTGCTCTGATTCTTGGGTGACACGGGCATTCTAAGGGAACAAGGAAAAGGCCTGTAAATCTACTTAGACTATCATAACCAAGTACCATGGACTGGGTGAGCATAAGGACATTTATTTCTTGAAGTAACTGAAATTCTAAAACTGAGGGTCTGCCCATTTGTGTTTGATGAGTGCTCTCTTTCTGGACAGTAGAAAACCACTTTCTGGGTCTGTGCTCACTAACAACTCAATTGTAACAAAGAAGTGTTTCCACTCCTATGAGTTTGACTAAGGATCATCAGGACTGAGAGAAG